TTCAGATACTAGTCTAGACGTATAACATAGATATATTTCAATTGTCTAACAAGTCTGTAGATATAACTTCAACTACCAGTTCAACTACTTCCATATAAACATTTTCATGTTAGGTTATTATACAGGCAATAAATGAGATTACGAGTATTCATATATAACGATAAAAAGTCCTTACAAGAAAGCTGTATAAATAACTAAGTGCATATATACTTAGTATATGTATATTACTTAAATGTTCAATCTGCATTAGCTGATGAGGAAACACAAAAGCTCAAATATAAGTCAGCTTAAGCCCCGGCTTCTTTACTTTACTAAGTGGAAACTTAGAACGCTCTAATGGGACATCAGTTACGTTTGACTGGAGGGTCGGTAATGAGTTTAAGGGGTGTAGTTAAAATATTTATAAGTGCTAATTTTGATGAGGTTTGAGTAAAATAGATAGTTTTATATGAATATGATGTTTTATTTCTGATTTATTTATACTAGTAGCCTAGTGGGCAAAACTCGACCACTATTAATGACCGCTAATCATTGAAAATGAAATTTTGAGAAAAACGTATATGAATAGAACTAGTGACTCACCCTCGCTCCGCTCGGATTCGTCCTAAGATAAGTTTTAATGGTTAGTATAAATTTCTCAGAAATGATATATTTTCTAGCAGTAAAAAGTATTCTATATATTGACCCGGATAACCAGTTATCATCATACCAAATTTCATCAAAATCTGTCCAGTGATTTTTCTTTTTCTTTCCCAGATAGACAGATAAAAACTATACTAAAAACTATTTCTAAAACCTATAGATTCGGCCTCTATTTCAATAATAATGACTACTTAAATAAGACTTTCCAAAAAAAAATTATTATACAGATTCGACTTAGAATAAATAAATACATAAATATGTTGGTACATTAACACACAGCACCATCTAGTTCCATGGTAGGCTACGAGGCTTGTATTATAGATACCAGTTTAAACACTATACATATTATAAATAATATAACATAATACATAATATAACTAATATTATAATTTGACATATAAGCTCTTTGCAAATTATATGAACCCGCGGCTTCGCTCGCGCTAAGGTTAGGTAGGTACCTAGGTTTCATACAAATTTTCATCCCCTATTTTACCCCCTTACAGGATGAATTTCGAAAAATGCTAAAAGTCGTATTTATTTAATTTTATTGAAGAGCATTAATACCAAGTTTAAAGTAATTCTGATCAGAAATAAATTTTTGGTTTGTATTATAACGTGTTTTCCCGTGGGAATGAGATGATCTCCCGCTATAAAAAGTAGCCTATGTCACTCTCCAGCTCTGAAACTATCTTCACACCAAAAATCACGCCAATCCATCACTCCGTTTCGACGTGAAAAAAAGACAAACAAACAAACACACTTTCACATTTATAATATTAGTATGGATATGGATTCCTATCTCTTATAACACTAATAGACAGGTTATTGATATTTACTGCTACTACTTTTAGAGTATGTAAAAGTTAAGTATTTTAGAAAAAATAGGATTTATTAACCAACTAGAAACTAACCCTCGCTTCGCTCGGGTGCGCCCGTTTTACTAGATACGTTTTATTTATTTTTTGAGTGGAACCCGGATTCTTTTTCTTAAATAAAAGTAGCCTAAGTTACTCCTTATAACATCAGCTATCTGTTCATAACAGTCCATTAAAAATTGGTCCAGCCGTTTCGGAGATTAGCAAACAGAAATACAAACAGATAGACAAATTTTTTAAAAGATGTGTTTTTCATAAGAAACTGTACTTATAAAAGTACAGTATATAATTTTTCGTTGTTATTTTGATAATACAAACAGACACTTCAAGTTTATTTATCTATATAGATTATTGTAAAGTAGATATTGTTATAAAATTGTATTCAGCCCTTTTTAACGTCCCACTGCTGAGCACGGGCCTCCCTTCAACACGAGGCGGATCAGGCCATAGTCCACCGTGCTGGCCAAATACAGGTTGGCGGACTTCACATGTCTTTCGAAAACTTGCTAGGTTCTCTCACACATGCAGTTTTCCTCACGATGTTTTCCTTCACCGTAAGGCAAGTGCTAATCATGTTAGAAATGATTCGCACATGAAAATATCAGAGGTACGAGACCTGGGATTTGAACCCGCTTCATTCGGTTTCCCAAATATAATACAATTATTATAGAATAGATATTTTTTTCATCTGCAATATCCAATGCTATTCAACTATAGGCGCTTCGTACGTTCAGTAGACTAAGCGGATCAAAAGATTATAGAGTCGGAAGCGATTTCGCTAACAATTAATATATCTAGTTTAGCGATGTTTAGAAAAAATCTTTCAATTACTACCTCTTTGTCTATTTATTTTTTTATATACGTGTATATATATATATATATATATATATATATATATATATATATATATATATATATATATATATATATTTTATAAGTTATATATTGAATTAAATTATTTAAATACAAGTGAACAGCAGAAATCATCCATTCATTTAATAATAATTATTATTATTATAGTTTAGTTAAACCGTCAAAACAAAAATATTTTATACAAATAAGAACTCGAATCACGTAAATACTATTGTAATATGGAATTTCAAAACAAGACATTCTACAGTCTCTAGTGCTAAATGAAGATTAAAAATGTGTGAAAATGACATATCTAAAAGTTATGTCACGTGGTCAGAATACGTCAGACTTAAATTTGTATAAATTGTATACATCCCTTTTTAACATTTTTAACATACTACTGTGCACGGGCCTCCCTTCAATACAATCAGGCCATAGTTAGGGCAGGTCAGACATACACATACATATTATTTCGTTTTCTACTACCAAAATGAATAGTACAATTTGTTTAAATTATATTTATTCGCGTATTTTCGCGGATTTGTTTTATTTATTTCAGCGTTTTGAAAGCTTTACAGAAATTTCGTTTGAATTATCGAATTTTCGCGTAAATCTAAGAAACTATTAAGTGAAGCCACTTTAAGTAGAAGACCGAAGCATGGCTTTGAGGAATACCACCCACCACGCATCTCTAATTTTTAACCACGTATTATACATATACTAATTGAAATGGGGATGAAAATCCAAAAAAATAAATAAATAGTGATGTGACCATTCCGGGATCCGTGTACCGCTATTCAAAAACGCGGATCAACAAAAGCTTGCACCGCTTTATATTCTCCCCGCATCATACAAGGTGAGTAGAGGCCGATGCACCGGTTGCGTACCATTCTAATCACGATCGACAATTTTTTTCTCTACAATGGCCAGCCTCGTTGTATAATAAATGTTATGTTAATACGCGCATTGTAATTGCTATTGTTTACTGGTGTGTCATTGCGTAACGATTGAGTGACGTTTTTTTCGCGTCGATTTCGGGTCATCGGTTATTGATTCTTTTGTTTCGTTTCGAATTTCTCAAAATATCATTTGGACTGTCTTAAGAAGTCTCTATAATATCTTTATAATAGAATGCTTGCTGTTTCCTTTGAGCGCTAAGAAAATTAAATTCTTATTTGCAATTTATTTCAAATTAAAGGTATGGAAGAATCCACTTATTAAACAAATCTTACATTTACTCCACATTTATATTATAACACGTTCCGCCGCAATCACTAGAAGATAACTCGAACAAAACTGTACCTCACGATCGCAATCATGTAACTTGCACTTGAAAACGTGAAGATAACTCAGAAAGCGGCCATTAGTGTAATAGAAGTCGTTGAGCATCCAAAATCATGCAAATCCTGCAATCAAGCTCGAAAATCGGCGAAAATTATTCACGTGCAGTCTAACTCCAAATCCTGCTAAGACGACGACGTCTCGAACACCAACGGATGACGTTTAACGGCAATCGTATGCAAATACATCCCTGTGCTGTCCCGGGATACTACGGGATTACAACTACCCACATCACTAATCCTCGTGTAAGTTAGCTCACTGTTGTCGGGGGCTTAGGGTAAGATATTGGGCTCGTATGTTTGAATATTGGTTTAATGTATAGACTGATAAATGCACTAGTGACGCCGAGTTATGACAATATCGCCTCGATAATTTGCTCTGCGCGGTTAGTATAAGCACTGTATAGCATGTTGATAGTGATGTACCGATTCCGGGAACACATCGACATTCCTGCAAAGCAATAAAATTATTATTACCTAATCGTGTAATGGTATCCAACTATAAATCATTATTAATAAGACATTGCTAGTTACATGAAAGACAAATGAAGATGGCGCCAGACGCAGAATACATTGAAATCATATATTGATCATTAATTCATCACATAGATCACACTCGGAGAAAACACTTGAAATGCTACGCCGTCCTTAATACACCTACGGAATAGCAAGTAGCCGGAGTACGATTCAGCTCCGCATCGCCCTTTATTAAAATTAGACAAAAATGCACTTCTGCAAATAAAGAAACGAAAGTCACGTCTACACTTAAGTGCCGCCTGTTTCAATAGCCCCCGACGTCATTAGGAAGAAAGAAGTAATTAAAAGTCCGATAAAAAATCTCAAGAACAACAGTCGGCGTATCGGCGCGGGGGCGCGGAAGCGACTAGTATTGCTAGTAAACAATCCATAATCAAAAAAATGTGCAAGTATTGAACTATAAACAAGATAGTGTTTGGCAAGCTGCAAGGCGCTCCCGATTAGACTGCGCCATCATTCCGTCGGTTCATTCAATATTTTTTTTACCGAACGCTGTAATTTCTTGGCTCGAACGCATCCGTTTACATGCCAAACAATAAATTTATTAGTCGAACGGAGGAGTGGCAACACTAAACCGCGTCACTCGTCGATACGTCATCGATTGCGTGGAATTTTCAACATTTTGGAAATCGATTTCAACCCGCTCGATCGATTCGCACGCGTCCATTATATAACGCTCCGTCAAGGTGACTCGTCCGAAGCCACTACTGTATCTATTTTAGTTCGAATTTCATAAATATCCCGTGACAGCTCATCTCTCCTCTCCCGCGTTCTGCCGCGCTTCAGCGGCCATCTTCGATGCGAGCTTGCGTAATGGTCGGGCTCCGGTGTCGCACCGAAATATCGCCGGAGCGTCGTTCCGAAGCGGCGTCCTTGCTAATTTTAAAGTCCTTTCCTAAAGTTTATCGTTTATGAGGTAATAGAGGTGTGACGTAGCTTTGGCAACTCGCCGGACGCGTACGGCGGTTGGACCGAGAAAAATTGTCGAGACGCCCGCGTGCGAGGTTATATTTAGTCGCGTCCCCGACGCACCTTGAGGGATCGAGCGGAGCGGATCGGCACGGCCCTATCGTATAATGGGCTCGATAGCATCGGAAAACTAATCGTATATTACCACGCGCGTGTCCGGCGGCAGATGCGCCGACCGAAATTGCCGGCGACCCACCATCAATATAGCCGACCTAATTGAATATTATACAGCAATTTGTGTTGCCGAAAATCTGGCTGGGAGTATGCGGTGGCCATATATAACGGCTAACGGTGTTAATGTTTTCTATGGGCTTGACACGATGCGATGCAGTGTTGCAGAACTAAATATAGACGAGCTGTTTTAGTTCTGGGCTTTAGCGTTTGCGCAACGTCGCCTCGCCGCCGTGCTGCGAGCGAGACACGTTCTATTATCGGAAAAATGGACCGATATGTTGAGAAATATTGTCATTTTCTCTCTTTTACTACCTCTTACAAAATTCTTAGGAGTTTTCGAATCTCATGATCTTTATTACAACAAAAGATTTATATATAAAATTCTTTTGAGAAAAGACAATTTTAAACTTTTAAATACACATAAATCGTGTTGACAGAATCAGCATCCCGCTTATAACATTCATAACTATTCAAAAACCGGGTCAAACGGCTAGTTAAAATATATAATGGTAGGTCGACAAGTCCATATATTAGATTAAATCGAGAAATGCAATATACTAACAACCTATTTTTTTGTGTAAAGTCGTAAACAGAATTTTGTAGATTTTAGTTGAACGCTCCGTTGCTTTAAATAATATAATAGCTAAGTGTATGACATATATAGTGCTCATTATGGAATTTTGCATTGAAACATCGATAAGATTTATAAAAATTACTAGCGACTTGCTCTCGCTTCTCTCAAGTGTTTCCCTAAGTACGCGGATTACAGACACAATTTCATTTTTTTGCGCGGAATCCTGATTCTTAGTCCAAAATAAAAGTAGCTTAAGTTACTCCTTATAACATTAGCTATCTGCCAGTGAAAATCCCGTCAAAATCCATACAACCATTTCAGAGATTAGCCGGAACAAACACTCGGACAGACAGACAAAGAATATAAAAAATGGTTGTTTTCTAATTAGTACCGTATATACTATCGTACGCATTTAGTAAAAAGCTATCATTACAGGATTCAATTTCATTTATTCAATTTTATTTATCTATATAGATTTGAGAATATAAAGGTACCATTCATTCATTGTTATAAGAATGCATAAAAATTTTACGAAAATTTTGACATTTTGTTTTCTTTAGCTAACTTGTGTAATATCATATGAAAGATATATTATTTATACCAGTGATTTTTTTTACGTAATTCTTAAATTATGTTTCAAACAAAACCTAACAAACGAAGCTTTTTCGTAAAGTATGTATTTTTATTGATGATAACTATAAAATTTATTCCAGTCTATCTATCCTTAAAATAATAAAAAACATATATTTTTGAAAAAGTATTTTTTTTTTTAAAGAAGAAGTTGGTTTTTATTCTATGAATTCTATTCTTATTCTATTCATAAGAATTCCATTCTACGGAAGAGTCTCTCCCGTGACCATGGTTACTCACTGTAAAGTATTCGAAACGTCGAGAAACAAAAACAAAATAAATCAGCGAAAAAATTCGAAACGGAAAATTTAAAATGTCACATATTCGTGTAAATCTAAGAAAATATTTTTTTCGATAAAACTATACGGTCATAATTCTCATATACCCAAATCACATTCAAAGAATTCAAAAGAAAACAGCAATAAGCAATATTGCCGATAGAGATAGAATACACCATATATTACCCAATTACCTTACCCAACTGTGCATGACAATATTTTAAATTATTATTATTGAACACAAGCTGAAGGACAGGCGTCCTAAAGTAACACAAAAATATATAGAGTTTTTACTCTAACCTAAGTTTTTCTTAAACTCCCCAATTTCCCAGGCAAATTTTCTAATTTTTCTCCCTAAAAACCTTATTTGAATTATCATTAGTAACATTAAAAAAATATTGCCAAATCCGCCCAGCCGTTCTCAATACCTTTATAAATGAACAGCGTTTCTTTTTTATTACATAGACTAACATTACCTGCGGCTCAGATGATCAGAAACCAAATTCTTAGGTTTTACATATTAGTATACTCTTACATTGCAGTTTTTGTATTTTTTCTCAGAAATGAGAAATTTTCCCGTGGTAAAAAGTATCCTATAAGTTGACCCGAATAACCAGCTATCATCATACCAAATTTCATCAAAATCCCTCCAGTGGATATCCCGTGATGCGGTAACAGACAGACAGACAAACAAAAACTGTAAAAACTATAGATTCGGTCTCTGTATCGATAATAATGTTTATTTCAATAAGATTTTCCAAAAAAATATTTAATGTACTAATTCGGTTTAATTACAATTTTATTATATGTATAGATATAAAGAATTATTTTATCATAATGTATATTATAAAATCATCCATAACAAAATATAAATATTCAGTATGAAATTAATAATAAAATCTATCAATAACAGTTGTAATATTCCATAAGTTTATTTTCTGAGTGTATTTTCCAACGAAACATCCTAAGCTACTTAATCCCTAACCAAAATATTTACAGCCACAAATTAACGTCAGATACAGGAATTATTATATATAGACAATGAAAATTGCGCATTCAAATTGCTATACTACTTCTTATCGTTGGCTTCGTCTATTAATATTATTTGCTAGTTTTTGCTACTTCTCTCTCATTATATACATACAAATCTCTTTCACTTTTATTTATAATTTTATGAAAGTGAAGTATGTTTGTTAGTTTGACCTTCTTTTCGTCGTACCGTAGAGGTAATTAGTCTCTATTTTTATCCGACTTCAAAAAGGAAGGGTGTCCGGTTTTAATGTCTTCGCCAATTCTGGATTAATTTTCACAATTATTATTTTTATATAATTAATGTATGAATAACTTATACCTCAAGATCATTTTTTTTTTCAAAAATTGCACCCCTTAAGGTTGCAACAGTTACTTCTTAACCGACTTCCAAAAAGAAGGAGGTTATACATATAATTCAGCCGGTATTTTTTTTGTATACATGTAGTTAGTATATACTTCGATCATTCCAAGGTATTTGAGCCGATTTGCATGATTATATAATTTAAGTTGAAACTTTAAAAAAAAATAATCAAAGTATATAGTTCATAAGGTAATCATATGCTAATTTTATCTTTATATATAAAATAATTGACGTAAGATAACCGTATACTATAAAAGTTAATGATGAAGAAGTAGTGAGTAATTAAGGCAAGAGCAAAACGAAGGTCTCTAGATAAAAAATAGTCATTTTTAGAATCACTGTACTGCACTGTAACGCAGTAATACTGCTATGCTTTGCTACAGCAAAGATTACGGGTTTGATATCGACATGAAATTAAGGATCAATGCAATTTAAAATATGAACCCAAGTATCTATAAACGATAAAGTAAATAGAAATTGTATGGGAGTTCCGAGAACTGTGACTCGGGAAATCTTATCTACGCCCATATTGCGACGTGACGATGGTTTGACACGACCGAAAAGAGATCACGCTGTATGTGCTCTTCGAGGCTATATAGCTATATAATTATACCAACTTTTCCTGCTTTCGTTTGGGTACCTAGGTACCTAACAGCCTGTCTTATTCCAAGTCTAGTGTATGTATCTATGTACTACATTTCACCATTCATCTTTTACCATTTATAATTTCATTACGTTTATAATTATAGAGTAATTAAACTCCTAACTCTGGGTTGCTTCTTGATAAAAAGCTCTAAAACTGTTTGAACAATTTATTTTTTAAGTGAGTATAGGAAGACCACAGACTTTTTGTCCGTCCGCGCCTTTTTATGAGCTTTTGTTTTATTTTTATTTATTTTAACAATTAAGGTTACACAACAATACAACCTCGCATACAAATTTGAGAATTAAGGAGTTTTATAAAAATTTAAAATTTAAGTTAGATTAGCCCTCAGATTCAAAAGCTCCAAAATCTGATATTCGAACCCACTACTAACCTCGCCTAACCACTAGACTAACGTTGCCTCCACTAATCTACAAATAACATCTACAAAGTATAAGAGTCATGGGAAGAATAAGTGGCCGATATAAGGGAGGTACAGATAACATATCATGAAATCTGTAACTGAAGCATCCTCATGAACAGACATAGTCTATTATAAAATGATTCCTTAAGGTTTTTATGTACTAAACATTTATTCATGCTTTAATTCTTTAAAAATACTAGTGTAGACGACTCGTTTGGCTTTGGTTTGTATGACCCTACTTGCTGTGCCAGCGGTTGCGGGTTCGAGTCTCATTGGGGGCATTTATTTGTATGATGAACACGAACGTTTGTAATCGGAGCTTACATTTATAATATGTATGTGTTTAAAGTTATTTATGTGTAGTGTATCAACTATCCGGTATCCATATCACAAGCTAGCTAGCGTAGCTTACCATGGAACTAGATGTATGTTAATATCCCAACATATTTATTTATTTATTTAGTGTTGGACAAGTGGGGTCGAAATTCAACCGCAATCATTATAGAAAATTTGTATGGAAACTTATATAAATAGAATTTACCTATATATATAGAAAAGCTGTTTCCAAACAAGAGTTAGTTAGTTCTCGTCAATAGCTACTTAAAAACGGTTGAGAAACTAAATACTAATATTATAAAAAGAAATAGTTTGTTCGTTTGAACGTGCTATTTCCAGGAACTACAAATCCGATATAAAAAATTCTTTTTGCATTAGATAACCCGTTTATTGAGGAAGGCTATAGGCTGTATATCATATAATATATAGTCTATCTATACCATACTAACCGTTAAAACGCACCTAGAGACGAACTCGAGGGAAGCGAGAATGAGTAGCTAGAAGCTACTAAACAAAAAAAAAGAAAATCGGTTGAGAAACATAATTGTATAGTTATAAAATTTTAAACAGTTATACTTATTAGTGTTATAGTCAATAGCATTTCCAAATCATTTGGTTTAAGAAAAATAAAAATAAAACGTCATATTAATGGCCGCCCAAACACTTAATTT